CTACTTAAGTGGATCCTCAGTGTACTTCTCCAAGAGCTACTACTAACCCTTCAGCTAGTACTATTATTTTTAACGTCTATTTTTGAACAGCATGGTCACCGACATAAAAAGTAAACGCAAGAGATGAATGTGGACGGGTTACAAGAGAGTTAGAGGAGAGCATTAGATAGAAAGAGAGAAGTGTTTCTAGTCAAATGAGATGAATCCCGACGTATGTAAGAATGTTCGGTAGGGAAACATGCATGTAAAGACCGACTAGCGAGGGAAGGACAAGCAATGTTGAATGCTTCTCAAGGTGCGGTAGGCGCTTGCACAGTCAAGACTCTCACATCAGGCACAAAGTGTCCGTCATACTGGATCTGGTGTGAGATTAAATGACAAAAAATTCACTCGACGCCATGTGCCACGCATAAAAGTGTCATGAGTACGCAGAGGGCCCAAAATGGCAAGCAAACACAAGTCACTGACTGTGACCTTAGGAAGCTCCAGTCTAACAACAGTTTTGGCGAAGTGAGAAAAGCAGATCATCATCGGTTGGTGGCTCAAGAAGTCAACATCACAACCATGGGGCTGAGATTATGACGAGGGAATATTCATCAACACCATGCTTCTGTTTCTTCTCATTCCACACAGTCACTTGGCGCCCATCCGAGGCTATGCTTACGTCTCTCTTAGTTACTCGGCGATCTCCAGCAGTAATTAGGTCAGGCTTGATGAAGGAGGTGCTCTCAGCTCCTTGAAGACGGTGTACATCACTACCACCACCACCACCACTGAAGTTGTTTAGTTTTCAAGAGTATGCTCCAAAACACCAGCTGGTAAGCAAACGCTGCGGAGGAACACACGGAAGAGGACGTGAAAGGAGGAAAACGATCCGGGATAGAACGTGCTACCACTAGTTTTGTCAGTCGATTTAGATTATCTCTGAGATGTATAAGAGTCTGAGGAAGGAATAGATAAATCTGAGAAAGTGACCAACAAGATCCGATACTCTTCCAGACGTAGAAGGCGCTCATGCTGCTTCATTATTTCGGTCGATTCAAGTCCTTGATTCTTCCACCCTCTTGCAATCTAGGCGGCATTCAGTAACTGCTCCCCAAAGTTCGTACTGGTCACGCGTGTCTATCGTCTTAGTCGACTGATCGGTGTGATCCAAGAACTCGGTAAACGATGTGATCAGATTGCACAATGGATCAGTCAGATGTGTGAATGGAATCGCTTGTCAACTGCGGTGAACTTAGAAACACAAAGTAACTTGGACGGACGGACGATTATGTGTACAAATGGTTCGAGGGCCATTGATGACATCATCACAGTAAGTGGTTTATTCAGATTCACTATTTGGTTCAACACATGTATGAGGGAAATAGAAAGTCGAATGGGAAATAAAGATACCCATGGGAATTGCTTTTTATCATTATTTGTTAAGGAGTTCTTCTATTCCAAAGTTATATCGTATGGTGTAATGCATAAGCACTTTGGTTGTTCTGACACACACATTCCACTGGCAGTTTGACGTCGCAACTTTTCAGTGATACTGGACCAGTGTTGGTTGACTGTTGATCCGGACTTTCTATAAGTGTGCTTCTATGACTGCAGCTGCACGGCTGTTTTGCTTTCTGACACCGATGCCAATGATGCTCGTCGAATGAGAAAACTATTGTACACCGTACTGGGCGTACATCAGGTCCGAACCACGGGAATTAGTCTCAGGTTACTGACTGGAGGATATCTATCGAACTACTCATGAGTAGGCAAAAGTTAAAAGGATATGAAGGGGCACCGGTCCATCGCAAGAATGGGCTATCATTGGGATTAAGAATATGTTGCAATTTGGGGGGAAAGTATGTGTATTGGTGAGCTTTTTGCCTCTTCAGAATGGGCGGGGCCTAGTGCTCTCCCATCGTCACTGCATAAGGGAAAGTCAGCCGTTCGGATTTTCGAGTCCCTAACACTACGGAGGAGGTGTGAGCATATCTCAAAGATGTGCCTCAGCAATCGATGACCCCTAGGTCAGTGTGCTTTGTGGTGTTGACCGGTCGTACTGCAGCTAGTCCTGGGAAGCGTTCAGAAGTGGCCCTCTGTGAAAGCGTTGATTAGGCCTAAAGGTATACAGGTCATCGCATTTGAATGTGAACTAGTGAATTTTGGGGTGTAGTAATGGGACAAGCTCCCGGACATGAGAGGAAAATCAGTCTTTTGAGTTGTCGAGATAGGGCAAACCTGGCACCAGCGAATGTCCGGTTTGAAAAGGAAGCCAACTGTATCCACCCCTACGTTGTAGACGATGTCAAACTTATTTCTGAAGGTTCGTACTTGCTGGATTGGTGAGGTGTGGAGGACGATGCATCTGGCGCGTGGCTCCAATCCCTTATTCTGCTCATAATCGGTGAACAAATCTTCAGCATCTGGAACCATTGTACTTCATATTTCTGTTCACTCGCTAAAGAACCAATGGAACTGTTTCAGAGTCCTTTTGTTTTGTTAAAAAAGTGTGTTCTTTTGTGTTTCGAATTCGAATACAATACTCATGAACGAATGGATGGAACAGAAGTGAATAAAACATTAGGTCATGTACCAAGTGAGCGTTCCGGCGAAACCTTAAACATAAATTCGTGGAGATAGTAGCAGTAGTGATAATTACAACGATACGAGTAGTCTAGTTGTGACACCCATTCGACGCACTGCTGCCGTGCATTCCGGAACAATGAGTACTGAGATACTGCCACGTTGCCCAAACGTAGGCAGAAATAATCGAAGAGCCACGGTCGGGTTCTAGCCTTGATGTCAGTAATTCAACTTCTGGACTGTCATTAGCCTAATGGTTGTACTTCAGGGGCGTCTGAGGACGAGACTCAGGCGATACCGGATGACATCAACTTGTCTTGTGTAGTAAGAGCATCCAATGGCCAAGAACCCCACGGATCATCCACAGTTCACTGGGCAAGCTGACATTTTCGACATCTCCAGGTGTGCTGTGCATAATAATGCCAAAAAACGGTCAATCTCCTCGGTTATCCTGCCACCTCTAGATAATTGGATGTGTGCATAAGGTCGCCGTGCTTCACAACAAGCCACCGATAATGTCATCTCTAATTTTGGAAACGATGAATCCCCCGTGTTGTTTCTCAGAGACCAAACAAGAGGCCAACAAGAAACTGTTTGTTATAGGATTGTTTGCGCACAGTATGGAATTTCATACACTATGGCTGTTAATATATACGGCTTAAGTACTGCAGAACACTCAGTGTCAAGGGGGATGAATTACCCTAAAATAATGGACTTATGTAACTTCTTGCTAATACATTTTGGAAACTGAAAATGAAAAAATAAATGGTTGACTTTGAGCAATAGAATTTTGACCATCGTTCATTCCTCTTACGTCTAGCACGTGGACAAAATACGTTTCCTGCTCAATAACGAAGATGTGGACCTATTTGGTACTGATGCTGGAACCGAAAGACTGAGTATTGAAGCCTTGATATCCTCCGTTCAAATACTGGTTGAGCACGTATTGAAACAGATGGCTTGCTTCGTTCTGATTTTGAAGAACACACAGGAAACGACCTTGGACAAACCGCCTCCAACTCCGTTCACTTTTGAAGACCTACTGGTTCTTGAGTCAAAACTACCAATGCGATACGCGCTGGAATACGGAAAGGCAAAAGCCAAACTGGTTGCAAACAAAAGCGATTTTTTGTGTGTTTGAGGAAGTCATTCCACATTCCAGTTGGTCTGTATGCTGGTTCCTATCTTCAGAAGATTGATTCAAGTTTTTAATACTTTGTGCACCAAATGTCCACTTTTCAAATTATGCAACTTCCCTTGATAACCAGCTGTTATATTGTTTCCTGGCAAGAATTTAAAGAGACCATATTCGGAGTAATGAAGCGTTTATATTTACTCTATACTTAGAAAGAGACGCATTTATCTTCAGCTGCAATCTATTTTAAACGCAGTAGTCTAAATTATTCCTTGTGGGGAGAACGGGATATGAGCCGTATTCATTTCATACTAGATCTAAGAGCAACCTTCAGTAGGCTAAACCTAGGTGTTCGAACATATTCGATAATTATGAGAATGAGGAAACTGAAACGGCTATTGCAAAAGAGACCCATACAAGGGAAGATCACAAGATCAACCGTGGTTATATTTAAAAAAAAACGAGAGGGTTGGTGGCTAAAAGAAAGCTTGAGGCGTCCTACTATGAAAGTGCGAGCTAATCACACTGCGGATAGGTTGCCGGACAGTTGTGTTCGAGCTATCAGCTGGAATGTTGGGGGTTCAAAACTCCCTGTAGTTTAGCGGTACGCACACTGCTGATGATTCAAAATAAAGGTTAAACAGCTGAACAATGTTTTTCGGCTTTTCAGTTGCTTCCGGTCAACATTACAAACTCATCAATTATGGCTAACTACTTGATGGAACTCAGTAGACTGAAAAAGTGCCAATAATCACACTGACATTCGCGATGCGTACCCGCTTTACCGAGCTAAAGGTAAGCGATACGCTTTCAAATCAGCCCCAGTGAATTCGTCGTTCCTAGTGCAACCTATAAAAGGACGCACTCTGATTTTGGGCCAACTGACTTTTCCATTTCGACCAGTTCTGATTGGGAATCTATGATCATTTGTATTAACCCTTTCCTTTCGTTTGTCCCTTTGCAAGGATCCTCAATAACCGAACGGTAGTAATGACGACAATGGCATGAACTTCGAGTAAAAAGCATGACATACTGCGCTCATTCTGGAGCGGAAGCTTGTAATGTCCAAATTTTTCCCATACGAGACGGAAATTGGAATTTGAAAGTAAACCCATAACCCCAAGAACTCTCGGGGAAAATATTTCCATTTTTCAAAACAAAGAATACCCACACTTAAAAGTCAGTTTAAAGTGAGCAGTCGCTTGGCCGATTGCCAGTGTTTAAAGATAGGGTTTTTCCCTAAAGACCAACTTGTGCTGTTAAACCGTATGAGAAGGCGAAGAACATACAATAGTAATCGGTGAACAATACGAGGTGTATTTATTATAACAAAACTTATTATACTGAGGGATAAGAGTGATACAGGGCGACATTCTGCCGGCAATGAGGCCTTTCAGTAGGGAAAAAGTTAGTACAAATCACCTTCCGAACTAAACTGTTCCAAACAAGGATTGTAAGTTGGTGAACGCCGTGTCAAAGCGGTCTGCTGATGCGATTCGTCAACTGCTTGACAGCATGGTCTCCCATGAACCGGATCTGATCTGTGTGCACACTTTTCGTCCGGTTGTTCTGTACCAGTCTGCCGGGCGTCAGAGGGAGGTGTTAACTTGCGATCTTTCAGCCAGTTTACAATATAGTAGAGTAATGGGACAGGTTTATCCACAACCGGTGCATGTTGATGTTGTTGCGGTTGATCAGCGAGGTCTGGTTCGGTCGGCCCAATCAGTGACTTGACATTAACTGTGGGCCTGATCTGAAGGGTCTGACAAAGAGTTTGGCGAGAGAGCATGGCATCGCCGTGTCCAGATTCCGTACAAAAAGTGGACCGACTAAAATGCAGACTGGAGGAGAGAAGCTGGTATGAAAAGGCAAGTAGGAACTGGAGCACAACAGGAAAATTGTTTCGTCTTGATGATGTACGAATTGAACGTGGACTTAGTCAAAAGGATTCCCTTCAGAGGTGAGGGCGTTAGCTATCTTAACCGCAAGATGTATTACAGTCCACTATATTTTACTTGTCACCAAAGGCCCAAGATAGTGTTCTCAATCTATGCAATATGTTTGCATGATGAGGTCAGTAACAAACAACCATTAAGGACTTTGGACGGAGTTGGATTATTTCCCGACAAACTATGAAACGAAAAAGACGCGCTGCCGCACCGAGATGAAAAGAATGTAGTCACAACCCTGAAATCTCAGCTATCTGAAGAGTTTCGTCATTAGTTGGACGCAACACGCTGATTTGGAAGAGCGTGTATCCCTCTGTTTAACAGCCAAAAGTTATATACCATCATCATCATCATCATCTTCATCATCATCATCATCATCATCATCATCTTCATCATCATCATCATCATCATCATCATCTTCATCATCATCATCATCATCATCATCATCTTCATCATCATCATCATCATCATTGACAGCATCACATCAGTGTTCAATACTGATGCTTCACTGCCGTACAACCATGATTTATGTGAAAGTCGTATTGTAAAGAAAAGAGTAAAGGTGGACAGGAAAGGGACTTGGTGTTAGCTCACCACAATCATTCCGAGGTGCCTATACCTCCAGACATTCACTCGGGCTATCTGGATAGAAACTGACAAGAAGAACGTCATTGACATCGGTTGACAGGCATATCTTGTAGTCTCTTCAACTAGGCATAGTGAGGATCACGTGGTCCCCATCCTGGAAGGCGATTAGTGCCGTCAGCACCCAAGCGTTTCGTGATCTCCTTCATACTCCTCTGCCAGGTCAAGGGTTGGCCACCTCTCTGTTTACGCCACTCTGAATTGGG